TAAAGGCTCTTGCTGCCAGGCCTTAATGATGCAAGCTCAGTCTCCAGTGCCCACATGATGAAAGGAGAGAGCCAACCCTTGCAACAAGCTGTCCTCTGACCTCCAAACATATGCACACACAGATACACACACATACAGAAAGATAGAGAGAGAGAGAGAGAGAGAGAGAGAGAGAGAGAGAGAGAGAGAGAGATAATAATAAAAAATAAATAAGACAAGTAAAGATCCAGATACGCTCAGCGGTTTTGTGTATGAGTAGAGATGGCCCTTATAATCATGAATCATACCAGAAAAAATATTAAAGAATGATTTACTGTTTTACTGCTTACCAACTGTAACCTATACATGGCAAGAGACCTCAGAACTGGGTTAAGGAACAAGAGATACACAGGGAGCATCTCCTTCTCCCACATAACAGCGAGCAGCATTGTTCTCAGACATGCATCAGGGTTTACTGTGGTTGAACACTGAGCAGTCTGCAGTTAGAATCAATGTAGAACCTAAGGCTAGGTTAAATGTTCCCGCCATAATATGAACTTCTGTGATACAAGAAGAAGTAGGAAACTTGGGGGTTTAAGACTTTAGTAAATACTGCAGTTATTTTGTGTGTGTGTGTGTGTGTGTGTGTGTGTGTGTGTGTGTGTGTGTGTTTACAGTGCAGTGGTATAATTTCTTAGCACTGCTGCACAGCCCCTCTACATACATAACCAGAAACTGATTTCCAGCTGATGAGGAGTACATATGTTGGGTCCATGTGTGCCAATACAGGGTCCTATGGGTGACGATGGTGCGGTGCAGTCAACGAGCTTTTTCTTCTATTCCAATAGTGACAGGAAGGTGAGGGCTTCCACACACTGAAGCTCCAGCTTTTGTCCTAACATTTCTGCATCCTTTTCCAGTCATTGGAGGTGTGACTTCCAGCCAGCTGCCCTTGGTCATTAGCAAGCCCTTTCTGTGACCGTTAGAACCAACAGCAGACACTAGCAAGACCTGTGTTGTTCACAAGTCTTTTTGAATTCAGGCCAGCTACTCTTCCTGCTCACATGAGCATTCGTGTAAATACGAGTATAAGCAGTTCCAAGCTGCAGTGTAGACTGTTTGCCAGGCACGAACAAGGCCTTGGCTCCAATCTCCAGCACCAGGTATGACAAGAACAAAGGAAGATAGTTGCAAGCCTTCCCCTTGTGTGTTCTGTCTTATCTTTGGCTACAAAACAGTTTTCAGCCCCATGTCCCACTTAGGACACTTACCACTATTAAAAAGTAGTGTGTGTTTATTAGATGTGACAGTGACCAGTGTGATCCTGGCACTCAGGAAAGTCAGAACTGGAGGAGACATGTTGCTTTTGAGTCTTCCAAAGGCTGAAGCAGACACTGGCAAAGCCCAAAGCTGAACTTCAGTCCTTTTTGAATGTAGTGTGAAACTTCATAAAAGGACATAGGACACAGCCCACAGAAATGCAAATGATGAACAGATGCCAAGAGAGTTAGGTCTTGCTCAGCATGGGTCAAACACAAAGATATCAAGGACAGGTGCTTTGTTTTTGTTTGAATGGGAAAAATTAGTAATTAGTAATAGTTGGTGAGAGTGTTCAGAAAGAACACATTTTCTTTGGACAATATTTGCCCAAAGTTTAAAATGTTCACCCTCTGGTCCCACAGTATGTCTTGGACATGTCTTCCTTCCGGGGACCCTCATTATCTACTCCAGGCTAGAAGAGCGTCTTTTTGTATTTGTTTATGTGTTTGATTTTTTGAGACAGTCTTGCTTCTATAACCCAGGGAAATCTCAAATTTATGCTCCTCCTGCCTCGGCTACCTGTGTGCCAAGTAGTTCTTGTGGCAAACCAAATCAAGTGTGACCACTGGGAAAATGGGAAAACAAATGTTAACAATGAGGAGGAGTATGCCTGTGGTTGTTAAAGATGACAGGCTTGATCTGTGGGTACCATCTGAGAGACACAGCTCCAGCACCCCACTACAAAGGAAAAGAGAAGCTTCTGAGCATGGGGCTAAACACCAATCTGCTGAGACAGGAGGGTGAGGCATTTTACTTCATATTTCTTCCTGTTTAAATTTATTATGGTGCATACCTATTACTAGTTAATTTTATGAAAGCTTTAAACAAACTAGAACCAGGTTAGACTGAACCATGGGAAGGAAAGTTCTGTGTAAGAAACAAATGTGAACTCTTTTTCTGTCAGTCTGTCCACACAAAGCTTACATCTCAGTGGGAACTGAAAAACAAAGCAAAATGTTGACTGCACAGGTGAGGACAGCTGAGGAAGCAATAGGCATAGTGCTCTAGTGACAGGACGGAAGCCACAGTGCAGAAATAATAAAAGAATTGGGTACAGAAGAACTGCCACGTCACTGTCCCTGGCTTGAAGGAAGTCTGCGTAGATGCTTCCTTTTCTGTGGAGGTCATAGGACTGTCTTAGATGTGTTCTTCACTTCACGCCTTGTTTGAGACAAGGCCTCACATTGCCCTCCACTGTGTATGCCAGGCTAGCTCCACACTGTGTATGCCAGGCTAGCTCTCCACTGTGTATGCCAGGCTAGCTCCACACTGTGTATGCCAGGCTAGCTCCACACTGTGCATGCCAGGCTAGCTCTCCACTGTGTATGCCAGGCTAGCTCCACACTGTGCATGCCAGGCTAGCTCTCCACTGTGTATGCCAGGCTAGCTCCACACTGTGTATGCCAGGCTAGCTCCACACTGTGTATGCCAGGCTAACTCTCCACTATGCCAGGCTAGCTCCACACTGTGTATGCCAGGCTAGCTCCACACTGTGTATGCCAGGCTAGCTCCACACTGTGTATGCCAGGCAAGCTCTCTACTGTGCATGCCAGGATGGCCGGCCCGTGAGCCTCCTGTTTTCTGGTAATTCTCCTGCTTTCTCCTTGAATCTTGCTGTTAGACTTCTGGGATTGCAAATTACTGGACACTATGTTGAGCATTAATTTGGGTTTTAGGACCTGAACTCACATCCCACACTTGTGTGGCAGTGTTACCCACTGTTTAGTTCTGTTTGTCCAGTGCTCAGCACACAGGAGTGGCGTAGGAAACAGCAGCTTGATGCATGCGTGTTCTGTGTGGGCAGTGGGAGTATAGATAAGTACAGGCTACTGAAAGGAAGTATTTAATGTGCCGCTTTACAGCAGTGGGGAGCCAAGTCAGATACGGGCAGGCAAGACTTAGAGGTGCTCCCAAAGAAGTTGTACTGAGCTAAATGTCAAAAGATGCTTCATGACAGATGCAGTAAGCGCCAACCTCAGAAGAGGTAGCAGGCTGTGGAGGAGTCGGGGGTCCTTACACTGGAAGTGATAGGAAAACTGTAGGTCTTGGAAGCTATACCAACTTTGGATTATATCTGGGAAAATAACATATTACTACATTTTATTTATTTCACGGGAAGGGGTGCTCTGTGGAAGTCAGAGGAGAGCTTTGTGGGATCCTGTCGCCATGTGGAACCTGGGATCCAACTCAGGGAGTCAGGCTTGGTAGCAGTCACCTTTCCCCACTGAGCCCTCTCACCAGCCCCTGATTGCTATTTTGTAGAGATGTGTACAAGAGGTATCTGCCTGTCTTCTTCACTCAGTGTCAGGCAGTTTTGCTTGCTTTGTGAGGGTTACCTCATTTTATGCTTAACTGTGGAGTGGGTACTACTGCTGTCATCATCTTGCAGTCGGGGACAGGTAGGCATAGAGAGGCAGAGTGATCTGCGCATGGCAATCTGGGAAGAGGTAGAACTCAGCTAGAGTCCTCAGTAGTCTGGATCCAAAATCTGTACCCGCTCTGCATGAGTCTCCGTGAGAAAGGAATCACTTCCCATCAGTTTCTCCTTTGCACTGGCCAGCATGGAGGGAAAGGTCTTTCTGGAGCTGGGCACGGTTTGGGGAGAGAGATTTGGGAAGGCATTGAGATGGAGCTTCCATCAGAACAGTGGCCAGTCTGCCCCACCTTGCTGTTCTAGACTGTGTGATGTGAGAGCAAGGAGGGGGCACAGAAGAGCAGAGCCAACCCCGAGACTTCTGTGAACGCTGGGACCCATCTCTCCCTAGGGTAATTATAGCAAGATTAACGGGGCAGGGTCTTCGTGGTGGCTTTCAGAGCTTAGGGCTGAGACCTGGTCCTCAAGTGGCATCTGCCCTGCTAGCTCACCCGGTGTTGACCACAGATGTCTTCCACGCCCTCCACTTTGTAGTTAGCATTTGCTCTTGCTGCCATCCCCCTTTTAGTCCCTTTTCAGGTAGCAGCTGCTAGGCTAAACCCACATTTTCAACACCAGATATAAGGGAAATAAAATTCAAGGGAAAGGAAAATTAGAGAATTGGGATGAACTGGGTAGAAGATAGGCTCTCCGGAAAAGCCTTTGATGTTTTAAAACTTGACCTTTTTCCCCCCCTATAAACACTATGGCTCCTGTCCCTGCGCCCTGTGGCCAAGAACAGCCCACTGGCTCCGAGCCCTCCTCTTTCTCCCTCCTCCTGTCAGCCCTGTGAGATCTCTGCAGTGAGTTTGTTAAGCAGTTGCCAGTATTTCTAGGATAATGAGCCATGTGAAATCTGATTGGAGGAGAAAGGAGGCATTCTTCCTCCTGCTTTGTTTGAGGCAAGCATGTTCCACTTGGCTGTGACCACACTTTAGCACAGGTAAGGCAGGGTCCAACCCAGAGCCACTGCTGTGCTGGAAACACCACATCAAGGCGGCCAAGCTGTCTGAGTCTCCTCCCAAGAAATCTCCCCTCCCACAGTCCAGGGGAGCAGCCTGGGACGCGTGTGCTGAGGGCAGGGAGAAAAAGTGAAGCCTGTCAAGCACTAGGGCAGGAGGCATCGGTAACAGTGACTCATGGCCCTGTGGAGAAGCTCCAGTGTGGGTGTTAAAGCTGCTTCTGCACCCTAGACTTGGGCCACCACCACCTTCCAGGGCACTCCTCCCTGATGTCACCTGGAGAGAGCGCTGCTGTTTACTGACTCCTGGCTCTGCTTCTCTTACAGCCGACCCTCTGGTGGGCAGTATTGCCACACAGTACATGACCAACAGAGCGGAGCACGACCGGATGGCCAGACAGTGGACCAAGCGGTACGCCACCTAGGGGCCTACGTGTACCAGCTGTGTGCAAGCACATTCACCAAGTGCATCAGTAGCCCACCTGCCCCTCCAGACCTCCATTCTGTTTCCTGTTTTTATTAAATTTTGAACTGTTTTGTGATGGTATGTCATTTGTCCCTCCTCCTTCCTACCCTCAGCCTCCTCCCCTTCGCTCTGCCCCTCTCTTCTCCCTTTTATGCCCTTTTCAATTTCTGTTAACTTGAAAGATTCGGGATTCCCCCCACTGCGGTGTGGATGGGAGCTTCTGTTTTAAGTGCAACCCATGTTGGATCTGTGCTAGTAAGAGCTTTCATACAAAGCTTTGTGTTACTGTGTGGTTTCGGGTTTTCTTTTGTTGTTGTTTTATTCTATCTTTTCCCCCTTTACGTGCTCTTCAGAAAAACACATTCAGAATTCCATCTCGTTTCTACTTAACTGTAGTGCTTAGGGTTGATTTTTTTGTACTGAAGTCTTTATTGGTGGGTGCATGCTACTGGGAACAAGGTTTTGTACAAAAGGTCCAATCAGAATCACTGTGCATTACTGAGACCCTGTTTATCACAAGACTTCTGTACCCCACGCAGAAGACTGTTAGACTGAACAAAATAATATGTATTTTGATTTACTTAAGTGCTTGTAAATTTCTTAGGGACCTGCCACTTTTGACTGTGGATCAGTTGATGTACACTTGTATTATTAATGCCTCAATAAATCACTGTGGCGGATCAATGCCCTTCTGCACCGGCCTCTGCTCTGTGTGCTCCTGACCTACGCAGCCGCACATGCTCTGAGGCCTGCCTCTTCTCAATCCATTAGTTTTCTGTCTGCTCCTTTACCTCAGACCGCAGAGGTTCTTTGTAGTGGAGCTGCTTATTAGCATGTGGGATCTCTCCAGCTGCCTGGTGATTTCATGGTCATTTTATACATCAGCCCTCCGTCTTTTCTGTTACAACCATCTCCATTCAACAGTAACAATGTGACTCTAATAATAGCCTGCTTGTGAACGCGCAGTTTAAGCTGATGGCTGTGCCCAGTCACTTTCGCGGTCATCGTTTTCTTTTTCCTAGCATGGCCCGTGCTTGCTGTGTGGCCGTCTTTTGTTCTGCCTTTTCCCCCATAATTTTGGTGACAGCAAAGCCTCCTGTGTGAGTCATGGTCACACAGTCAGTGGCATGCACAGTGCCTCCACCTTCAGGTAGTGTCAGCATGCTGCCAGAGATGGAGGGAGCAGTGACCATGCTGGTTTAGCACTGCTTTGCAAGTGATGTTCAGGCTCTTCTATTGGAACTTTGACCCATCAGTACACTCCATTAACTAACATCTTCACCACTAAGTGGTATAACTTATGAAGCCATACACCTCTGACTACTCCAGTGTTTTAAATATCTGACTTAAAATATGCTGGTTTTGCTAGTTTGTTTTTTGCGATTTGTTTTGTTGTTGTTGTTGTTTGTTTGTTTGTTTGTTTTTGTTTTTGTTTTGAGACAGAGTTTTTCTGAGTAACAGCCCTAGCTGTCGTGGAACTCGCTCAACCTGGCCTCAAACTCACAGAGATCTGCCTGCCTCTGCCTCCTGAGTGCTGGGAATTAAAGGTGTGCACCACCAATGCCTGGTGGTTTTGCTAGTTTTAAGTGGTTAAGCGTTTTTAAGTAAATTTAAGTATTTGGAATGAGAATTTTTAAGATTTATTTTATGTATATGGGTGTTTGACCTGCATGTGTGGCTGTGCACAGAGTACACGCAGTGCCCTGGAGTCAGGGAAGGGCATCAGGTCCCCTGGAACTTATTGACAGCCGCCAGGTGGTGGCTGGGAATAGGACCTGGGTTCTTTAAAAAAAAAAGAAAAAAAGAAAGAAAGAAACCAGTGCTCTTAGCCACTGAGAGCTCTGTCCAGCCCCTCAGAATGGTACTTTTAAACCAAAGTGCCTGTGGGTATTTTTAAAGACTCGTTTCTATTTATGTGTCCGTATGTCACATGTCTGCAGGGTCCCACCAAGGCTGGAAGAAGGTGTTAGATTGCTGGAGTTGCAGACAGTTGGGAGCTGCCCACTATGGCTGCTGGGAGCAGCAGCAAGCACTCTTAACCGCTGAACCACATCTCTAGCCCCTCTTTGTCGATTTTTCCTAATGATTTGAGCCTGCCTTATTAAAAGCCTTTCCCAGAATCCCAGAACTCTGATCTCTGCTGAACTGTGTCACTTCTGTGACTAGCAAAAGGGGCCTCAGTGGGCTCCCCAGCTCCATTAGACCTTTGCCCAGCAGCAGGACTCAGGTGTGGCTCATGCGCTTGCCAGTCCCTGATACGGACCATGTCACGGGAAGGGGCCAAGTGACTGTCAGCCCCTTCCTTACTACCAAGCACTTACAATTAACATACTACAAGAATAATTTTTTTTTCAATTGCCAAGAAAGAGTTATTGTTCTGCAAATTCTCCATGCATGTTTATTTTTACTTTAGATTTAAAAACTTGGGCATGGAAACATTGAACTGTAAAGTTTGTCTTACTGGATTTTTAGACTGATTGCAGCAGACTTTGGCTGCTATGGCTTGCACACACAGTACTCACGCCACTCACCTGTCTTTGAAAATGCCAGCTCCATTTGGCACATAGTCTAAATAATGCATCAGCACAGCACTCTGCTTCCTACCTGCTCTGCCTCACGTTACTTGACAGTGCCTGTTGAGGCTGCAGAATGGCTTCGTGCTTAAGAGAGGGGTGCGGCATAAGACCCCGATTCTGTTCCTAGAACCTTGATCCAGTGCACAACTGACTAGAACTCCAACCCCAAGGGACCTAACTCCCTCTCTCTTCTGACGTCTGTGGGTACCCAAAACTTGCCACATACACACAAACAAGTAAAAAAAAAAAAAATACTTTTATAAGAAAAAGAATATTATTTCAGAGGCAGAGATTGAAACATTTCTCATAGGAAATCCTGTCCCAAATGTGTTTGCTTGTCTAGAAACCATTTTTAGTTTTATGCAGATATGAAGAGACTATAAAACATTTCTCTTCTCCGTGAGTCAAACACATCTGCTTTGCCTTCAACATGGAAAAGCTAGAGAGATTCCAGAGATACCCACAGACTCCTAGTAGATGCCATTAGGTCTGAACTCCAGGTAATCTATTGTAATGTATTCACAATAGGTAATGCAATCCCAGTAAACTTTGGGAATGGCTCATAAAATGAAATTTAGGAGGAATTAAGCACCCAAAGTACTAAACAGTCTTGAAAAAAAAAAACATATGGACATTATATCTCAAAAATGTAAGGATAGTTTTGTACCCTAAATCTGCTAAATTTTCCAAACAAACCACTAGTTTTATAGATCTGTTACATGACAATGTTGGCAGATGCTCAGTGAGGCAAAACCATCAGTCATTGACAACTTAGTTTGAGGTATTTATTGATCTTAATCATTCAGAAGATTATTCCCTTGATGTGTGGACAAACTGCAAATTAACAGACCATTCTTCACATCTGTCCTGTGGGAATTTATCGAGGGTATCATTGCAGAAATAGTACATCTTGAAATCTGTATGTTAGACCTAGACACTCACACATGCCAGGCAAGCACCTACTACTGAGCAGCATCCTGGTCCTAGGTTTCTATGGCTGTGGTAAAACACCATGACCAAAAGCAACTTGGAGAGGAAGGAGTTCATTTCATCATGTGGCTTACATGAAGGGAAGGTAGAGCAGGAACTGGAGGCAGGAACTGAAGCAAAGGCCGTAGACGGACACTGCTTACTGCCTTGCCCCTGGCTTGCTCAGTTTGTTTTCTTATATAGCCCAGTGCCACTCTCCCAGGGATAGCACTGCCCACAGTCAGCCGGCCCAGCCACATCAATCATCAGTCAAGAAAGTGAATCTTCACTAAACCCTTCCCTCAGGGCTCAGGGAACTCTGCGAAGAGGAGGCAGATTATAAGCCAGAGGGGAAACAGTATCTTCCAGACACAATAGGACTGACACACATGAACTCACAGCGACTGCGGCAGCATGCACAAGGGCCTGAACAGGTTCAAGCCAGATGGTGCCCCAATATTGAGAGGGGGAAGTAGACATGGACTCATCCCTAACCAAGAAGCTAACTCCAAGTATCGAATGATTGCAAAGCAAAACTTAGTTTTCCCCAAAGGAGTCTCACTGAGTATATTAACCCATACAACCCAGCAGTAGATGGTCAACACAAAAACGAACTCAATGCTATTTTTGTAGATTTTTCTCTCATACTGCTTTGCTTAGGTATTTTTCTTTTTACCCTTACTACTCTTTTGCTTGTATGTTGTTTTCCAATTTACTTTTTATGTTTTTTTGTGTGTGTATGTGTTTCTTATATTTTTGTCGTTTTTGTTTTGTTCAATTCTGGTTTGTTTGTTGGTTTTATTTGCCTGTTTTTTCTAAAGAAAGAGAAAAAAGGTGTGGAGTGGGATGTGTGGGGAAGATCTGGGGGGAGATGGGGGACAGGAAACCATGATTAGAGTATATTGTATGAAGAAATGTATTTTCAATCAAAAAAAAAAAAAAAAAAAACCCCACCCAGCATTTGTAGGGCAGTCCTATGGAGGTAAGTTCACAGCTGAGGTCCCTCTTCTCAGATGACCCAAGCCCTAGCCAATATTAAGTTAACAACAAAGAAAGTAACCAGGACAACCCCCAACCCTTTTGTGTTTTCTGTTCTAAGATGGGGACCAGCTAAGTTGCCAGGCTACCCTCACATTCTGATTCTAAGCACATGCCACCGGGCTGTGGCTGGATTCCTAGTACTGAAGTCAGGTGAGGGGATTAAACCAATGTCTGATATTGCAGACATTACTGAAGCTGTGTGTGCTTTTCTGTGAATGAGTAATTCAAAGCATAACCTGCCTTTTTGAGGGTTTATTTATGAAAAACAGAAAGGCATTCTCTCACCTGTTTATAAATAACTCCACATGGTCAACACAACCAACCCAAACCATTTCAGAACTCTCTTGTCATGGTCATTCTTGGTCGAAAACTTGACTACGTCTGGAATTAACTAAAACCTCCAAATGGAGGTACACACGTGAGAGATTTGTGTGTAATTTGAAATGGGAAGATCCACTTCTAATCTGGATCTTTGAGGTGGGAAGACACACACCT